AATAATATAGTGTTAATTAATATATGTAATTATAGTATAGATTGAAAATAAAAAACGTAAACAATATAATAGAAAAATATATAAAAAGTTGAAGGGTTAAAACTAAAAATATCAAGCGTTAAAATTGAAAAATAAAATAAAATTATTATAATGTATTTTAGGGTTTTAAGTAGGTGGGGGTATAGAAAATCTAGGGTGAAATGAATAGCAGGGGGTGGGGATAGAAAACCCCTCTCATATGGATAGTAGACGGATAGGTGATTCTTCTGAGATTGGTCCCAAGAGCTCTACTTCAAAACCTTCTGCATTGAAAGTTCAACAGCCAAAGCATAACTCTGGTGAAGCTGTCTTCTCTCGATGACCCTGAAGGGTTTCACTATGCATGATGATCGTGAAGGGACAGAAGAAGAGCTTAGGCTTGCTGTACGGCAGCCCAAGAGTCTGCGATACAGTTCTGATTTAGAGGCTCTCAATGAGGACAGCCAAATGGTCACAGAAAATGTTGTGAAAGACGATGAGATATTAAGGGTTCCCACAATGCTAATTCTTGATGCTTCTAATGAGAATTAGTGGAAGCAAGACCCCAACTGCAGCTCTCTGCACTTTCACATCAGCAGCTAAGAAACTGAAATTGACAAACACATACTTCAATTAAAAAGAAAATCGAGCAATGAAAAAGCACTCGTCTTCAAAAAGATAAACAATTCTGTGGGAGTATGGAGAGGCATATTGGACATATTGATAACAGAACTACTGCAAGGAGACTGTATGCATTAGCGGTGGTGCAGTGATAAGGACCACATACAACTATCATCTTTGCAAGGACTCCAGTAGCATCCGCCCATCATCAATCTCAGAAGAACTTGATAGAATTTGTGTTAGTTATATGGAATGCAAAATGTATATGTTCAAAAACTAACCTTATTGAGCGATTAAGTGTGAAATCTATCAAAGGAAGTCTGAGCGATTTAGTAAACCGAATGACCTGTATTGATCGATTTTGTAAATCAAATGAAGACTGGTTAAGGTAGACTCTGCGATTTAGTTGAGCGATTTAGAATCAGATTGAGTTGTGCGATTTAGATATCCGATCAATCCAATCGAGCGATTCTTGCTAAGTCTTAAACTGACTCTATTGACAATCGATTTATAGAAATCCGATTAATCCAATCGAGCAATTCTTGCTAAGTCTTATCTTAAACTGATTATTGACAATCGATTTACATAAATCCCATTAATCCAATCGAGCGATTTAGATGTCCGGAGAAGATGAGTGAGCGATTTATCTTGAATCCGGATAAGACAAACGATTTACCAAGAATCCGGTTAATCTTTGTGCGGAGAACTTCCTAAATCGATCAATCAGTGTGCGATTTACAAAAACTTGATTCTGGCCGAGTTGAACGATGCAGAAGAAAACCTAAAATGGGCTGTTAGGCTGTTGGGCTGATGGGCCCAAAACAATTTGGGCCCTGAGCGATTTAACATAAATTCAGTCTAACCCAAAATTTAGAACAGATGAAAATATATCAAAAACACAAAAACAGTAAAGTTTTAACAAAAAAATGGATCAAAAACACATATTTAAAAAAAAACCTTTAAGAACACGAAAAAAATTAAAAACACACAATTCAAGCAAATCTTTTAAACGAAAGATTAAATCTGAAAATTCGTGAACAACAAATGTTCACAAATCAATTATGCTCACAATGATCATCATTTTAACATCAAAACATGAAAATTCGAAGGATTTACAAAAAAAATGATGAGAAAATGAAGAACACTCTAAGAACATAAGATGAACAGAAATGAAAATTTTCCAGAAATTCTTCAAGGTTTTGAGATTTCTTCACATGATTTCTTTGCATTTGCTGCTCTGATACCAATTGTTGTTCCAATATGTTGATCAATCTTCAATAAAGCTCCAATATCTATGGCAGATCTGAATTTACAATCAAGAACACTTTGAGAGGAGGTTGAGAGAAAAAGTCAAACTTCAAAGATCTGGTCAACTCTTCTTTACGTATTATGAATTTTACAATGAAGCTCATACCCAAGATTACAAAGAAACACCCTATTTATAGAGTCAAACATAAAAGCCTAGTCAAAGTCAAACTATACACACAAAGTCAAACACGATGTCTATTTTAATTATAGACAATAATAACTTTCAAGACGAATACAATTTAACACTGAAATTCAGTCCTAACAAATAGTCATTTTTTATCGGATTTGTCAAATTAACCATATGGAACGCCCCCAAAGGGCATGGTTTGACCATGAGGGGCGATCCTCTCATATGTTGACCAAAGAGGACAAAAAGTATAAAAAAAATTAAAATTAATTTGTGGGGTCCACATGTATCTACTTTAGGAGTCCAAACACTATGCGCCTCGATAACCGGGATCGTCCAACACCTCAGCGGATCTTCCTCCGGGGGCGATCCAGCCTTCGTTTTTTACCACTATTTTGTCTTTTAGTGTATATTGATTTGAAATTAATGGGTGTTTTTAATAAATAGGGGACGATTTAGACTGGTTTTTTTAACTGTTTTAGAACCAAATGTCATGGTTTTACTCTATAAAATAAAACATTTCTACTCCCACAACCCGTAACCCATAACCACAATCTATCATGACAACCCTTGAAACAATGAAAGTACGTGAAGATTTATAATTTTTACCACTTTTTTTAAACGTATAAATTAACCAACGAATATTCTTATATTTTCTTATAAGAAATATATCATTTATAAACACCGAATATTAATATTCTATAATAACTGTTGACACAAAAAAAATTATTTGTATCTGATTTGGGGGACAAAAATAAGATATTATATATGATTTACGTAGTTTGACCGCTAATTCATCTTTTAGTGTATAAATCGATTTGATAATTAATGGGTGTTTTTAATAAATAGAGAACGATTTAGACTGGTTTTTTTTAATTGTTTTAGGACCAAATGTCATGGTTTTACTTTATAAAATAAAACACTTCTAC